ATTTGGATCTGTGTGAATGCCTCGTTTCGAAAGAATGTGTCCCAAAAACTCTATGTGTGGTTTGCAAAATTCACACTTTTCTTTTGTTAAATAAAAATTATATTCACGCATTCTCTTGAAGATCTTCTGCAATGTTTGCAGATGTTCCTGCTCACTCGTGTCCCCTGATAGTATGTCGTCGATATACGTACTTGTATGAGATGTGCCTTGTAACATTTTGTCTGCAAATTCTTGAAAAATAGTAGGTGACGACGAAATTCCTTGAGGAAGGACGTTGTAACGATACAATCCTCGATGAGTGTTCATTATCAGAAATTTTTTACATTCTTCCTCCACTTCCATTTGATGATATGCGTTGCTACCATCTAGTTTTGAGAATATGAAACTGCCACTTATTGTATGAAAAACTTGCTCTGGCGTTGCTATGGGATATTGAGTGATGTGCAGTTGTGAATTCACTGTGTTTTTAAAATCTCCAGTGATTCTTACTCGTCCGTTCGGCTTTGGTACCACTACCAACGATGATGCCCACTCACTGTGACTAATGCGTTCTATAATTCCAGATTTCTCCATTAGATCCAATTCTTCATCTACTTTCTTTTGGATTGCGTACGGAATAGGGCGAGCTTTCATGAACTTAGGAATAGCATCGTCTTTAAGAATTATCTTTGCTTTAAAATTCTTGATGCGTCCTTTAGGTTCTCCAAATACATCTGTAAATTCTTTAAGAATATTTTGTAGTGTCAAGTTTTCCTTGACTTCATTACATTGTGCAGCTATGTCTGACCAATCTACTTTAATTTTGCGCAGCAGATCACGTCCAAATAATGAAGAACCTTGTGTTCACTGGAAACACATGATCGATACTTTCATTGTTATAATTTACTTTGCATTTTAACTCACCTATTGCGTGAAAAATTTGATTTGTGTATGTCCTAAATTGCAAAGTTGATTTTGATAAGGCAGGCTTACCAAGTGTCTCCCAGAATTTCTTTGCAATCATGCTAAGTTCGCATCCTGTGTCTATTTCCATTTTATGAGAAATGCCATTTATCTTCGTTTTTATCCAGATCTTCCGCTTTGCTGCTTGATTGGATGTAAAAACTTCGGCTGTTCGAATATCCATCATGTTGCTTTGACTGGACTGCTGTTTCTTCGGTCGTTGTGTATGTTTATTGTTCCTGCACTTGAAAGATAGATGGCCCATCTTGCCACAAGCATAACATTTAGATTCCTTGTGTG